ACGCATGGAAGGAGGGATGATTCGAACATTTGATCTTTGTTCCATTTGAATAGGTTTGTAAGACTAAAGTGTACTATTAAGGTTTTTGGCCGTAAATAACAATTGTTTTACAACCATTATTTGTAACAAGAAATAATTTATCACTCTTTAAGCAGTACTTTAAATCAAAACAAAGTGTTGTGCCAGCCCTAGAAGCGACTATGAAGGAAAAATCTTATGTTGGAAAAAGGGCGAGTCTCAAATTTGGCTTTGGATCGCTGTCCAATCGCACCGACTGTTTTCATCTCACAATAAACCTTCGCTGGTGTTTTTATGTAAAGAGACATTATTTGACGCCACTTTATAAGAAGGCAATGCTGTTAAGACGCTTGCTATCTTTCAAGTCAACAAAATGCAGTTGAAATACGTTTTGATCATTCTTGGTTAAAACGAAGTAGTTGCACAGCTGCCGTCTTCCAGACAAACTGTTCAGGTCATAGCTTTCTCTTTGCATTCTTTTACTAAAGAGTTGCAAAGGCTACTGGTTGCTTTTACGTTTAGGGAGAGAGAAAGATGTAATATGTTCAATTAAATGCGTTGAACAAGCTTCTTAGTTTTGTGGGCGACGCATAGCTGAATAATCACGCGTATTTATATCTACGTATGAATTTTTGTTCAGTGATTATTCTCTCTGCATTGAAAAAACTTTTCTTTCATATACGTTTTAACATTTGGAGAAAAATGCCTTTGAAATATGAAAGCGTTTTTAAACATGATACTAAAGCTTTCCGTCTGACACTATTCAGAGTATAAAATGTCAGAACATAGAGCGAAAACTCTACACCAGGAAATATATATACCCGGTTGTGGATCGAAATAGGCGAACCACAAATGCGAGCACATGACTTTTTAGCTTGTCCAATCATTTCCGCTTGCCTATTAAGAAACGTGATTTAGAGAAAGTTACGCAGTGACTCTTTTTCTAGCTGCGATGTTCTTTTCTATATGGAGATTTGAAATAAGATATTTTCAAATTATTTTCCTATATATACTTCGAAAATATCTGACTTTGATTATTTACAAGTATTTTTTGCCCAATTTTTGAATGGAATAAATTTTGTAGTCTCTTGTGAGTAGGCCGGTCGAGAGCAAGCTCTGGTCCAGAAGCTATAAACAGCATAGGTTTGTTTAAGACTATTTTTCGCGGGTTCTTCCAGCGTCCCAGGCGACGGGCTACGAGACTTTACCCTGGGTACCCTATCTCTCGACGCTATTGCATGTGTGCAATTCTCAACATGGCTTTCTTATGGCAGCAAGTTTGTTTTAAACTGAAAATGAGATGTAATTTTTGTTGCTTGTATCAGGTTTCGAAAACATGGTCACAATTCACGTTTTGCCGACATCTTTTTAGATCAGGTCCCTCGTGTTTCTTTTTTATTTGATGAAGAGCCTGCCTTTGAATTTCATTTGCCATTGTTTGATTTCTTTGATTTCGAACCAATCCGATAGTGTCGGGATATCA